GCACCTTGAGGAAGACACCGATGATGGGCCCTTTCCTTTCCTTTCATGTGGTCTTCTAGGATTACACCTTTAGTGCAGTTAGCAAAGGCATGGGACGTCTTCGGAGTTTGGGTTTCCAGCTCTTCTCCTAGGTTATCGATGATCCTCCACGTTTATTCCCCTGCCATCAGGTACCCTTACCAAGTCCGTTTGGATGCCCACGTGCACCCCCTTGTGCAATGTGAAAAAGTTCAGGAGCCAAAGAAGAGCAAGTATTTTTGCTGCTGTGCTACAAACGATGAAATGCGACCCACTGACCAGCAACCAAGTACAACCCCCTCCCCGCCTTCCTTATGGGGGGTCTCCCCAGATACTGTACCCTAACAGGAGCTCCTACGTACCTGTAAGGCTCAGAAATTTATTACAGGTACTCGGCTACTGTCCGAAAGACATGAAGGCTGACATCTGTGTGCATTTGAATCGAAAGGTGTTCAATGAGCACTCATGCTTTCGACTTGCATCTGACGGCTGTCTCCGTTCACTGGCCATGTACCTCGAGGTTAGTTTCAACTTATTCTAATGTGAGGTTACTCGTAACGACCATCTAACTAACTGACCAATAATTTCAGTCCAATCATGCTGCCCCTGGTGATCTTCTCTACCACACCGGTGAATCTGTCGATGCCTTATGGTTCGTCGTGAGCGGATCACTGGAGGTGATTCAGGACGAGGAAGTAGTGGCAATTCTGGGTTAGTTATTCAGAGCCCAATTACGCAAATAACGATAGCACAGATGCAGATGAAAAGTATGTTTAACTGAAGAATAAATGAAGTACATTTCAGGTAAGGGTGACGTGTTTGGCGATGAATTCTGGAAGAACAACGGGTCAACGGGTCAATCAGCAGCTAACGTTCGGGCGCTCACTTATACGGATTTGCATATGATAAAAAAGGATAAACTCATGGAGGTACGTGTCTTGGCCCGATGCTCGTAGGGTTTTGACAGAAGTAACTGCTACAGGGCACATCTCTTTGGTGATCGACCCCCGATAGGGGGTCGTATTTAGTCACTGGGGCAGGGGGTCGCATTTGGTCTGAGAAAATTTCTTTGATAGTTGATTTTCCTTGTTTCGCGGAAACAGTAGGGTTCTTTAAGCTGCTGTTGTTTGGTACATGCCGTTTAACGCCGCATTGCGCGATCCGAAATTTATCACAAATAGCCATTGAGCTGAGAGGTCAAAAGTGGCCCCGGTAGCGTAATAGGGAACGCAACTGCCCGGTAAGCAGAAGATGCGGGTTCGAATCCCGTCCGTGGTCCGACTTTTGCCCAAACTCAGCATTCTTGTGATGGCAGGGTTCTTTGTTATGTGCTAAGGAGAGAGGAGGTCGTGTACGCCTTTGAGAGAACTTCGAGGCAATGGGGAAAATTCTACCTGGTTGTTGACTTTTCGCGCTTTTTTCTTGTTTAACATAAGCTACATATCCCTTAGCTCGATCGTATCAGAAAAGGGACCCAGAAGGGGGAAGGAGGGGGGGTGGGTCGCATGGACTTGACCAAAAATCCCAACCAATGATGCGTCCTGAACTACAGTTTCATGATGAAAGCAATTAAACTCAAGATTTACATCGATTTTCTTTCCAAAAAAAACCGCAGTTGCTTCACAGGGATACTCATATTGGCGCAAAAGTCTCCAAATATTTTTCGTTGACTTTCGGGCAATTCCGGAATTTTCATGCTGGAGCTAGGTTAGAAGGAGATTAAATTTCATTACTAAAGTAACTCAATCTGAAAACGTTCTTGAAAGTGAAACATTTTAGGTGTTACATTTCTACAAAGCGTTCGCCAACTCATTTGCCAGGAATCTCGTTCTCACCTACAATTTGACGCATCGCTTGAAATTCCGGAAGGTAATTCTGGACTTACGTACTTTTATTCGTATTTTTATACTTATTTATTTATTTGTTTACTAGCACTTAAGTGCACCATCGACAGCAAAAAAGAACATGAGAATATTTCAGCCACTTCCAGTGAATTGAACAGAAACATTATAAAATCCTCATGAAAAGAATGCTCATGTTTGTTAATCCAGGTGGTCGATGTGAAACGAGAAAAAGAGTTGGATGCTCGACGGAAGAACGAAAAGCTCACGCTCCCTCCAGATCATCCTGTACGAAAGCTGCTCTTCCGAATGCGTGAACGCCATGGACCACGGATATTCCCTAGTCCGATGTTTGCTGATATCGAAAAGGTTTGTAACCGCTTACTTACTTGATTGCACCGTGAAGACTCAAAACTGTTGCTGCTGCAGGGCACTAGAAGTTTGTTAAGTAGTTTTCGAGTGTTTCGAAGGGATGCTTAGAACTGACTCGGTGAGCAGGTTGCGTCGGATGTTGGGGACCCTCCGTCTTTTCACGGCTAGACGGCGGCCCTGCAGAACCAGAACTCCGAACAGAGGTGCTTACCTCCCTCCACCCCGTGGATGGGTAAGGATGGGTCTGCTGTAGGGGATCGCATCGGAGGAAGAAGCTGGAGGTCGTACATACAACAGCCATTCTCCCAAGCTCCAGGACGTGGAGGTTCTGTGAGTTCTTTTGCTCTGCGATGCGCCATTTACTGGACTCCATTCCGATTACGGTAGATTCCTTCCTGAGGCCTCGTTGTGTGCCTTTTTCTAGCCCACTACGTGACTTCCACGGGTTTAGCCAGCGTGAGTTCCTCTCACGCAGGTAAATTTAATTAGTACTTAGCTGGCTAGATTGGTGGCTGTTGAAAAGATCGTGGAAGTCGAGTGCAAGACGCATCTAAAAAGGGTATTGATCTGCGCTACGCACTCCGTTTATCCTTTTATTGCTATAGAAACCAGCATGTTCTATATGATTCCAGAAAAAAGCGTCTTTCAGAACCTTAAGGCCGCTTACCAGTTCGACTGTGAGGGATAAGCTCTCTACATACAGGGCACTTCCTGCCACTGGGGAGAAGTTTTAGATAATGCGGACCCCCCCCTTCCAACTTGCTTCTTTGGTATGACCCAACATTCCTCATCCTACTTGCTATCGTACCATCTTCAGAAACTCTCTCAACTTCCTTTTTTCAGGACTCTCTAGAAATCCTCTAAATTTTCCCAACGATTGTCATTAAGCGGGTAGGAGAGGGGGTGGAAGGAAGGGGGAGGGGTTGTTTGGTGAAGTCGCCGCCTAACATCTACTTCTTTAACTGTCAAAATAGTAGCTGTAGAGAACGTTGGCGGTGCCATCAGCTGAAGGGGGAGGGAGAGTGTGGAGATTTCTCTCAATGGCGAATACCACCTCCACCCCCCTCGCTCCCAGTGGAACTCCCCAACACAGCGCACGTGAAGCAACAAAAATCATTATCAAAAAGTCTTTTTTTCAGGTCAAGTACGGCCTACCGCTGAGGGGGGGGGGGCAGGGTAATCCCCAAATGTAGACGTGCCCAAGCCCTCCATCCAAAACATATCCTCAGTAAATTCTTAAATCTGGATGGATTTTGGCTCATAGAAAGGATATGGAAACACTCTATTCATATCGTTTTGAGATTGAACGGGTTTCAGACACCTTTTAGTAATTACCAGAAAGTAGAGAGATCCTTGAGTCTAACTGCATATCTCGAGCCCCTTCAATTATTATCTTAGTAGCTTCGTCTTAGTGTAAAGATGGGAAGGACAAGAAGTTAGCAGGTTTCCATCTAGTTGAGCATTGGCCAAGAAATTGTGGCAAAGAAGGGAAAGGTGGTAGATTATGGCGATGAACTGACTACCGTATTGCCACGATGGTTCGCTTGGGCGTCGGATGACATTGTACTGAGATTTTGTAGTCGATTTCGCTGCAGACGCTGGAATGTGTCAGGGGGGGGGCTGGTTTAGCACAGAGCCTGCCCGTACCACGATTCCGTCGCTTGCCCGTTTCAACACTGGCAGAGAACGGGTTGTTGCCGCGCCTGATACCCCTCCACTTGCGACAACCCTCAGCGTCTGCGGCGAAAATGACTTAAAGGCAGTTGGCAGGATAAAGGCCTAAGGATTGATATATGACTGGCATGACGGAATTCCGAGCCCCTAAGCAGGCGCTGCGTAGCGCCTTTTTTAAGGAAGGTACCCTTATAGCGCCCATTCGAGCTGCAACCTACCGACCCGGAGGCCCATCAGGCCTGCCCTTTCAATGAGCGCCCGTACCTGCTGCTTTATTGCTTCATTTGCGAGGTCAACATAAAGCGAAGGATTGATATGGAGCGGTCACGGTGTACCATTGATATATGAGTGCATGCATGCATGCAGCCGTAGCGGTTAGTGGCACGATGCCAACGGTAGACTCGTCCGAAATTGCTTGTTGGGTCATTGAGAACGAAGGCTTTTCTTCGCAGTTTTTGACCATTTCACTTCGTTTTTTCGCCATTTTCCCCACTATATAGCACCCTACTAGCTTTACCGACCGAGTACCTGATTTTCGTGCCATATGCCTTTAAGGCTCAACCTTATTTCCATCCATTTGTGAGGAGGGAAAGACAACCATGTAACCAATACAACACTATTTTTGATTAACGTTTATGTTAAGGGCATGAAAAAACAGCACAACGAGATAAATCGAATATCATCAGTGCACTCGATGGTTGATGAGACATCCAATTTGCTTTCGTCAAGCTATCCAGCTCGATCGCCACGAAATGGCCAGAAAAACAAGCGGCCGCCGCTAGTTGTGAGTGAACTTAACGAGTGTTCTTCTCCACGTGACGACACTAAACGTATTACCTGAAATTCGATCCTATTTCAGAAGCGCCAGACTGTTGACGAAGATGCGTTCTCTCGAACAAGCTGGGGAGGCCCGCAAGGGGAACGCCCGCAAGGGGAACAGAAGTTAAAAGAAAGGGTGGGTGGAATGTGTTCGCTTTAGTCGTTAACCCTCCGAAAGGGTCTCACTTTAGGTCTCACTGAAAAAGTATAGGCCATGGAGTTCATGAGCCCAGGGCAGAAGGATATGCCTGAGCTGAATACAGGGCTAGGAATTTGTGCCCTACCTATGAACGCTTCGCGCCTTAGGCCCACTATTCGTTTTGTTCACCTCTGCATTAAATATGACAAACTTCAAGACAACGTACGCGATGGCCTTGAAGCAGAAGCCCTTCAGCAAACCCCACTTCCGCATCTTCAAAGGGCTATATAAAAACACAGCAATTTGTAGATAATAGCCTAGTTTCGCCTCCGCAATTTGGACCTCGAGAGCTAGGGTGGGCTGACCAAAGTCATCTTCCGAAATTGGAGAAGCCTTGCCTCTTACAAGAGCCGGTGGTTTGAATTTTCATGGTACCTTCTCAATATACATGATAGGGGATCCGCGCTGCGGTGACAAGCATAAATCAGCGTGGCGCGCCCCACTTCTTACCTTAGCCAATTTTTTCGCTTTACTGAACATTTTCGCGTCAAATCATTCAGACCCTGGTGCGAATGCCGCGTGAACGACATCACCCTGCAGTGCCGCTTTCGTCGTTCCTTCACAACGCGGATCTCTTTTAACTGGTAGAAAGGCTTCTTGCGTCTCAAAAGGTAGTATCCCGGCTGCAAACAGCTCTGTGAACTAGGTATT